CTTTGGCGACTTCCGTCAACTAGAACCTTCCCTGGCACAGCGCTATTGAACACATGGGTTTTTGAGGATGCTGAATACAAATCCCCCTGCAAGACAGTGCATTTCCACTGGCATCGTTACCTCGAAAAGCTGATGAGCGGATCATTCTACACATCCCATTTCGGGCAGTTGTCACCGACATCAAACTTATCGAGGCAGCAGGTAAAGACTAGAAGAGAATATACATTCGGTCCCGGGACTTACAATATAAGCCCGCGCCGACGCGAACTCATATACGCCGTATTCATATACTTAGCAGACACACACGAGTCGCTCTCGCCAACAGTCATACACCCACGCTACACCGCGGCTACTACAATAACACGCATACCCTCCGTGCCGGGCCCTACAATAGAAGCCCGCGCCGACACAACTCATATACGCCATGCGCATATACATAGCAGACGCACACAAGTCACTTTCTCCAACAGTCATACACCCTCGCTAACACGCATACGCTCAGTCTCGGTTCTTATAATATAAGCCCACGCCGACGTGAACTCATATACGCCTTAGCATATACCTAACAGACATATACATGACGTGTTCCATCTATTATTCCAACGTACTCATAAGCAACAGTTTCGAATATAACAAAAATGAACTCCTAGACTATTTGAGGTAATGCTCAAGGTCTGAACAATTGATTAAATAACTACAATTAGTTATAACATTGCAAAATTCTGAAGACGTTTTTGAAGACACTTTTAGGAATGATAAAACTATTTTGATGCTCTAGATTGAGCTAGAAGGCTCTAATCGGAATCTTGAGACGGTCAAAATTTATAAAAATTTGACAAGGAATTCAAAAAAAAATTTTTCAAATTTTTTCACCTGAACCATCGGGTTCAGGAACCTTTTTTTATTAAAAATAGCATTTTTCGACTCTATAAACTATCGCCTTATATTAAAAAATCTGAAAAAATTGGAGGTTATCTTTTTTGATGAAAAAAACAAGAAAAACATTTTTCTCAGATTTTTTGTGACTCCGTATCGAAATAATTATTTTCGTCAAAAAAGGGGTTTTTGGCTTCAAAAGGTGCGTTCAAATCTCTAAAAAAATTTGAGGTTACTTTTTCTAATGAAATAAAAAAGTTAAAAAATTTTCGAAAAAGTCATTGTATTCTAACGCCTTATATGAATTTTCAAAATTCTCAATGATTTTTTCTGAAGGCCTGAAGCACTCAAAAAATCTGAAAAAATTAAAGGTTTCTCAGTTCATTGGAAAGTATTTTTTTGAATTTTTTTCAGATTTTATAAATGCTTCAGGCCTTCAGAAAAAATATAGATAGAAAATGGACGTTGATAGGCGAGGAGGGGGGTAGTAGGGGGGAGCTGGTCCAAAATTTTGGTTTTGGCACTATTTTATCATGTAACATACTAAAAGCGCGTCAAGATCAGTGACATACGTGCGGACGAAAATTTAAAAAAGTTTTATTTTGACCCATATATACTGCGACGGACGGCTGACCCCGGGGTGGGAGAAAGCAGCAAATCACCTGCCGTCGAATAAATTTCTATAGGACCACCTTACCTGGTCGAGTACTCCCAGAGGGGATATTGGGCCCGTCGTCAGTGCGAGCTTGCTGTAGGCTCGCTGGCTTACCGTTGACCTCCTGTGGCTGATGCTGAAATCCGCGAAAAAGAACGGTCGCGAAATAACTAGGCTATGGTGTCGATTAAATGTACTTCTTTATTTAATCCAAGGCCCAACTGGCCGAAAAACCACTTCAAATTGCCCAACGGGCGATATCTTACAATAATACGCGACGAGGCACAAGTTCGACTCGACTTTACTTTCGACTTTGCCCACCAGGGGCGCGCTCGGCGCTCGCGTCTACCGTATCTCGTGATACGAGCTTAATCGGCCGAGCCAATATGGCCGCTGCGCGCGCGATCTATGCGACGATGTCGAGTGCACGTGTACCGACGCGACGTGGCACTCGCACCGTGGTCTCGATGATGCGTTTAATACTGTGTCGCGGGCGATCCGCTCTGATGTTACCGGCACGGATTTTCACGTACTCACGCACACCAATACAATGCTGGCTGCGTATCGCCGCTGCGATACTCGCCAGCCGAGCTCGAACACACACGCAATCACACGCTCATTGTCATGTAACGCATCATTTCGATGGGAAAATACCTCAGCTTTCCGATGATGAGCTCAGATTTTCCCAAATTTTCCGCTTTACCCGGGAAAATCGACGGAAAAACTTTAAACTCAATTTTCCCGGATAAAGCGGAAAATTTCGGAAAATCTGAGCTTATCATCGAAAAGCTGAGGTATTTTCCCATCGAAATGATGCGTTACATTTTTCTTCTAGGTGCATTTAGATACTTTTACAGCGAGTTACAAATTTAACGATTCGACTAAATAATGCCGCGCTGTGCGGCACTCGGATATTTTGACATTAAATGTTGTTTATCAACACTTATTTATCAACTTTTTAATAGGATTAAAATTTCTAAATTCATATTTAGGTATGTACTTTCAATTAAAAATGATAAATGTACAAAATTCATTGTGCAACATTTATTATTTTGTACATTTATCGAATTTCCCATGTTATTTCGTCAAAATTGCCCTAGTGCGCTAGTACAGAATTTCGCCACTACGCGGCGTGACGGTATCGTTCAGTCCTCAATAGTAAGACACTGTTCTCACACTTGCACAGTGGCAGTTCGGGGGCGCTGTACACCGCTCACGCAAGGCCAAAGAAAAAAGAAGAAGAAGATCAGAGCACATGTTCCATCACTTCCATCATTCTGTTATGTTTTAGTTCTGCTAGTATGAGTATGATGTGAAAGTAGTTTTATTATCTATCCATTAGAACTAACAAACTTTTTTTGTTTCTATAGTAAAAGTAGATTTTAGTTAAAATGTTGAAATTTATAAATAGTTACATCAATTTCAAATCGTATTCTGTTTTTGCCAAAATGGTAAAAAACAGATCAACGAATATTGTTTCTACTACATTAGATCCGAAAGTCAAGAAAATTAGAAAGAAACTATTATACAATGATTATCTTTTAAACAATACACTTAATTATAGATATAAAAAAACTCGTACAATATTAAAAAGTATTCGGTATAAAATTTTGAAAAAAAAATTTAATGAAGAGAAAATAACGTCTGCTACCAGTATTTTAGCTAATACTCATGACAATGATCATGAAAATTCAAAACTACAAAATACTAACAGTATAAATATTAATGATGATAGTGCGACTATTAAAACAGGAAAAAATTATCTTTGCACACACACAAGCATGTTTCATAATAATAAACATGATGTTGAATGCAATAAAACCAAAGTGTCAGTTACTTCGAGTGCAAAAATAAATTCTGAACAATTGATTTCTAAAACATTATTACATAAAAATTACTTAGATGTAATAAATATGAAGTTTGAAAGTGATAAGCCGAAAAAAATATCTTGGATGAGTGATTATGAAATTTATAATGACGCAGTACAAAATTCCTCTAATTTGATATATGGAACTCCTGATCCAGATTCTAGCATAACATCAGTTAAATGTGGTGGATGTGGAGCATTATTACATTGTAAGGATATACAAATGCCAGGTTATTTGCCTTCTGAGTTAATAATTGGTAAAAGTAATCAAGAATTACAAGGAGTTAAATGTCAAAGATGTCATTTTATTACTAATTATGACACATGCATTGATCTGAAAATGTCAACAAGCGAGAGTAATGATGTTATGAGCCAGTTAAAATCGAATGGAAATTCTACAGCTATCATTTTAATAGATCTTACCAATTTTCCTTGTGAAGTGTGGCCTTATTTATCTTTCATTTTAGGAAATCAAACTACTGTTTTTATTGTAGGTAACAAAATAGATCTGTTACCTCCAGATTCTTCTAAATTTATTGAAAATGTCAAAGATTGTCTCACAGAATCTATAGTGAAAGCTGGTATTTTAAAGAATAATATCAAACATGTTGGTTTAATATCAGCCAAAACTGGATATGGCATTGAACAGCTTATTAACAAAATACACAAGTTTTGGAATCGGAAAGGTTAAAAAAAAATTTAACCAATTTAAAGTGAAGTAAAAATATTTTATTAATTCTTTTTAATTTGTTTAGGTGATATATACTTAGTTGGATGTGCTAATACTGGAAAATCTACACTTTTCAATATGCTCTTACAATCAGATTTATGTCAATCACAAGCAGCAAACTCAATTCAACATGCAACAACTTCATTGTGGCCAGGCACAACTTTAAATTTACTTAAATTTCCGATTTTAAAGCCCAATCAAGCTCGACTTTATAAGAGATTGCAAAGACTCAAAACTGAGACAAAAATAGCACACATGGAAAATTATAATAATATTCAGGAATTCAAAGAAACTAAAAACATTGAGTTATTAGCTCTTCAAGGTAATCAAAAGTTTCTCATTTAAATTTCCTTGGTATTGTACACGACTATATTATTTTTAGGTCGCGTCAATCATACATTTAAAAGAGAAAACAAACTGCATACAGCTATTTCAAAATCAAATAAAAACAGCTCATATGTACGAGAATCAGTAGATTTGAAACTAGACGAAAATTCTCCTGATTACAAAAATATTAAATGGTTTTATGATACACCTGGAATTATTCAATCAGATCTTATATCAAATTTTTTAACATCAGATGAATTAGCCTTAACTTTACCCAGTAAAATTATATCCCCTAGAACGTTTTGTTTATGGCCTGGCCACACTGTTTTTATTGCTGGATTAGGAAGATTGGATATATTATCAGCACCAAGTTTTGTGAGGTATATTTTCAAACTAACATGGTAAACCTGCTAATAAAAGATGAAGTTCTAGTTCTACTATTAAAATAATTATTTGAATTATTTACTTTTCAAATTATTGTACTTATTCTACCATAAAAGTTTATAAATCAAAAATAGTAGAGATATATTCAAATACTTGAAAACCACATACAATCCAAGAAGAATTATTCTATATAAACTATAGAAAAAAATGTTCAGATAATGGCAGGTTTATCTCATCAGCCTAAATTTCAATTTTTTCAAAAAGTTTTCTGAAACTTCTACTGAATATCATTCTAAACAAATCTATGGGAGCATTAAGAAATTAAAAAGGAGGTTGGCGTAGAGCTTTTTGGAAAAATATTTGATAGAACTTTCAGAAAACTTATTTGGAAATTTGAATTTTCGGTTGGAGTCCAGATCTCCTGAAATGTAACGAAAAATTTTAGTAATTATATTTTAATGATTTATAGGTGTACTATATTTTCAAATATAAAACTTCCAATTACTGTCTGTAAAATGAAAAATGCTGACTATGTTTATGAAGAATTATTGAATTCTGAAGCTTTCTGTGTTCCTGTCAACAATCCTTCAAGATTAGAAAATTGGCCAAAATTAAATTTCAAAGAAATAGAAGTAATTGGAATTGGAGAAAAAGAATCAGCTGCTGATGTTGTACTATCAAATGCTGGTACGTAAATATTTATTGTTTATAATGTATATAGTACACACTAAGCAATAGTTTCCTATAATTATTTTTACAAGGTTGGATAGCAATTACTGCTAAAGAAAATGAGAATATTATGATGCGCTCTTGGACTCCAGGAGGATTAGGAATTTACACAAGAATTCCAGCTTTATTACCATATTCTGTTAATTTACGTGGTTCTCGACTGATAGGAACGCCTGCTTACAGACTTGGAAGACAGGTGTATATTTCTAGAAGAAAATAAAAAAATATAAGTATATAAGGCAAATTGTTATTGGGAGTAATATTTATCCCAGATGAAAATATATCAAAAGATTTTTCCCGAAATCCTACATTACAACTCAGTTAATAACAACAGGGAAGCATGCCATTCATACTAAATCTGAGCAATGGGGAATGTCATTCACCGATTCTTGATTTGACGCACAGTTCTAATATACTCATTAATATTTTGGTCGAGTTTAATGCAATTTTAGATATTATACATTATTATTATTATTATTATTAAAAAGCAAAAACAAAAACTACGAGTAGCACAAACTATGCGTAACTTCTAGAAACTTTTAGAACTACGTGATTTCATTATTCTTTTACGATTTGGTAATTAAGCTTACATTCAGTTCGGGCTGCAATCCCTTGTTTTGCAAAAAAAGCATCTTCATACCCGTTGGATAAAATACTATAATTATACTCATTCAAGTAGTCATTACAACATCAATATACCCACCCTTATTGAAAAAAATCTCATGACGAACTGAAATGAAATGAAAAATTTTGCGAACACTTAATCTATAACTTGCATAAGTATTACGTACAATCCTATGTAAGTTCTGGACTGGAAAAATTAATTTTTTTTCTAGAGCCAACAAGAAATTAGAAGATTTTAAAATCATATAAAAAAAAAATTGGCCTTATTAATTATGTCTGAAAAAATATTGTGCACATGCATTCCATTAGATTTTTGTCTATTCTTTCCAATGGTGGTATCAGTTTTTCGAAAAAAGTTAATTTACATGTAGAAAATTGACTTTAAAGTTAACTCAATTTTTCGGCAAGTATGCCCCTTCGACTTGATTCGTAGATATCTCAATCGATAGGTAATTTAATAACGAGAATTTAAAAAAAATTTTCAAAAACGGTTCAAAAGTTATTAACAGCAAAAAACAAAAAACGTAATTTTCGGACGAATTTTGGCCACGCACTGCTGCTCTCCGCTCAGCCGATAGGGGGTAACAGGAGTCGACGAGAATAGACGCGAATGCAATAACTTTTTCGAAAATTTTTTCACTCTTTTATTTCATTAAGGGGGGGGGGTATAGTTAATTTTTAGTTATTTTTGCTCATTTTTGAGATTTATTTTTTGAAATCTAGTAATGAAAATGTAGTAATATCGATTTGTACACTAAAAAGCATCACTTCAAGAGTACTCGGCTAAATTTTTGTTGAAAAATATTGAAAAATGAGCCTGGGGCATCGGTTTGAAGAAAACACGTCGAAAAATGTGGTGTACACGATAACTCCTCGCAGAATCATCAGAAACAAGCCTAATGACATTTTTTTATTAGTTTAGAGGATTCTGAAGGTACTGACGTCGAGTTTTTTAAAATATTTTCATTTTTGAAAATTTGGCGTGATGTTGAAGTTGAAAAAACGGGAAAAAATCGAAAAAGTGCACTTTTTTTTCGGAAAATTGTTGAAAAAAAATGAAAATTTTCCCAAAAATGAAAAATTCTCAACGTCACTACCTAGTAAAATAGTTAATAAATAACGGTGTAAAATTTCAGAAAAATCGGTCAATAAGTTTTTGAGATATGATGTACACCGTCTTTGAAAATGCTATTGTTCAGGAAACGCGTTTAAAGATTTTGAGGTCCAGTCCTTCTTCCTTTTTGCACGTGCGTTGAAATGGCCATATCTTGGTTAATTTTGCTCCGATTGGCTTAAAATTTTAACTGAATACTCTTGAATGTATATATAATCGAATAAGACAATAAAAAAAGTATCGAAAATTTTTGCGAAAAATACTATACCCCCCCCCCCCTTAAAAAAAGTAACCTCAAATTTTTTCAACGATTTGAACGCACCTTTTGAAGACAAAAACCCCTTTTTTTGACGAAAATAATTTTTTTAGGACGATACGGAGTCACGAAAAATATGAAAAAATTTTTTTCTTGTTTTTTTCGAAAAAGATAACCTCAATTTTTTTCAGATTTTCTAACATAAGGCGATAGCTTATAAAGTCGAAAAATGCTATTTTTAACAAAAAAAGGTTCCTGAATCCAATGGTTCCGGTGAAAAATTTTTTTTGAATTCCATGCCAAATTTTGCCTCCTAGTTCAATCTAGAGCAGGAAAAAGATTAATGCAAAATTCTGAAGACGTTTCTGAAGACACATTAAGAAATGATAAAACTATTTTGATGCTCTAGATTGAGCTAGGAGGCTTCAATCGGAAACTTGAAACGGTCAAAATTTATTAAAATTTGACAAGGAATTAAAAAAAAAAATTTTCAAAATTTTTCACCTGAATCATTGGGTTCTAGGAACCGTTTTTAATTAAAAATAGCATTTTTTATTCTATAAACTATCGCCTTATATTCAAAAATCTGAAAAAATTTGAGGTTACTTTTTTTAATGAAATAAAAAAGTGAAAAAGTTTTCGAAAAAGTTATTGCGTTCTAACGCCTTTCATGAATTTTCAAAATTTTCAATGATTTTTGTAAAAAAATCTGAAAAAATTCAAGGTTGTTTAGTTTAGTGAAAGGTATTTTTGTGAATTTTTTCAGATTTTTTAATTGCTTCAGGCCTTCAGAAAAAATATAGATCGAAAATAGACGTTTATAGGGGTGGAGGGGGTAGGAGGGGGGGAGGGGGTCCAAAATTTTGGTTTTGGCCCTTTTTCATCATGTACTATAACATACCAAAAGCGCGTCAAGATCGGTAACATAAGTGCGGACGAAAATTTAAAAAAGTTTTATTTTGACCCATATATGTGTCATTTTCTTAGCATAAATCTCTTTTCAGGTGGTTTTCGATCACGTGCAATAATCCTTAATAATCGTTATTCAAAAGTTTATTATTCAATTTGAAGATTGACGAAAAATGAACGACTTACATTTTATGGCTTTAATCAATTGTTTATCATTCAAAAGGTTCCTTTTTTCTACCAAAAGATATTTTTGAAAAAAATTTCAAACGTCATGCACAAGCTCTGTTAATGAGCAATGAAATATTTCTTTTAAGTGTCCGAAATATGGCACATTCACCCCCATTGTTTTCAAAATTTTTTAAACTTTTGCATACTTTAAAGATGTAGTAAATTAATTTTTCAACTTTTCACCACTGTTTATATTGATTATTGGTATAACAAAATCACAAAAATGATACATTTGATTTTTAATTTTAGCAAAAATATTCGACAACTTTATGATAGGTTTTAGATTTCTAAAATTATAATTAATGAATAAGTATGAACTTTCAGTTGAAATAATGATTGATATATGTGAAACGAGATAGTAATTAACCTTTTCAATCAAATCAAAATTTTCAAATTTTACCTATTTCTTTGATTTCGGAAGACTACCACTAGGGGTCGGGTATGGATATGGTTCAGTCCGCAATTGACAATTCTTGACAATACCAATTTAGTGTGCATTTGGAGTTGGACAGCTCTCTCACTTTCGCTGCGTACTTACAACTTTCTCACAAAAAATTATATGTATTGAACGAGTAAACATATAATATATTGAAAGTTGACACGAAAATACAGTCAACTTTTTGATTTGCACAGTTGTATTTGTGCATTTCACTCGTAGATATTTGTTCGCCAACTAACGTCAGATTTTATCAAACTGCAAATGTTATAGAAAAAAGCAAGATCTGTTTTCAAAGTCTATTGTATTTAATACGTTAACTAGCAGACACGAAAAATACTCTTGCACATTATACATAGAGTGCTGAACAATAAACGTTTTAGTTTCTTCAGGTACGGTCTAACGTGAAATAATAGCTGTCGTTAGTTCATAGAGTCTATTTTAAATTTATATGAAAAAAGATAGCTGTCGAATAATAATATTCAAAATTGAGTTTTAGTGTCACTTTCGCTCCAAGTTATTGTTGACGATAAATTTTATGAGACAAATTTTTTCTTGTCGCTTTCAAGTTTATTGCATTCTAATAATTCTACAGTGATATTGATATACCTACGTCAGAAGTATAACAACAAGATTCGCTCATTTGCGTCGTTATTCGCGCCAACCAAGTGTGTTTTTATATGTTGTCGTAGAACGAAATAATTGGTACATAGTTTAACATGATTAAACTATTTTCTCTCAAAAATGCTAAGAAAGATGGCGAATCACCAAAGACTGGTACTCAAAAAAAAGCTTCAGCAGCGCAGCTGAGGATTCAAAAAGGTATGCATCTCGTTATTACATTGTTAATGGATAGTCTTCCCATTATCTCAAAGTTTGTTTTAGAAATGCTTGCTTATTTTTTTAGACTTCCTCAAGTTTTCTTTAATTTTCTTAGAACTTGACCTTTTTTTTAGATATCACAGAATTAAATCTACCAAAAACCTGCGGTACAGAGTTTCCTGATCCTGATGATCTACTGACATTTAAACTCATTATTTGTCCAGATGAGGTTAGTTTCCATCATGAATTTTAAGATAATAAAAATTATTTTATTTGTGCCATCTTTTCAAACATGTTTTTGTTTAGGGATTTTACAAAGGTGGTAGATTTGTCTTTAGTTTTAAAGTTGGACCAAATTATCCTCATGAACCACCTAAAGTCAAATGTGAAACCCAAGTTTATCATCCAAATATTGATTTGGAAGGCAATGTTTGCTTAAATATCTTACGAGAAGATTGGAAACCAGTGCTTACTATTAATTCAATTGTTTACGGGCTTCAATATCTTTTCTTGGTAAGTTAGAAAGCATACAAACGTTAAAAATGTTATATTCTTTTATTTACAACTTGCAATTAACATTTTTAATATTGAAGCATATACTCAAAGAAGTATGAAACATTTTTTCTAATATTTTGATTCATATTTCTGATTTGTAGGAACCCAATCCTGAAGACCCTTTGAATAAAGATGCAGCAGATGTTCTACAAAATAATAGAAGAATGTTTGAGCAAAATGTAATTAAAGCAATGAGAGGAGGTTATATTGGACAATGTTATTTCCAGCGATGTCTCAAGTGATATACTGCTTCAAATTTACCAATGATTTGCATGCCTCCACAAAAACTCACAATAAAACAAAGAATTTTTAAATTTTGGAAAAATGCAGGCTATTGCAGTGCGTTTGCTATTGTCTGTGTATCTACTCTATACATCCTTACAATTTTTACATCTTGCCAAATCTCAAAACATCTAATGCATCAAGTATTTTATGCTTTTCAATAATCAGTTTATATGAGTTTAAAAATAAATGGCACATTTCACAAATCTCTTCAATGATTATATTGGTAACTGATGACTCAAATATACTAAGTGTGAAGTTAAGTAGATATTAAATTAAATGTTAACCTCAAAATTTACCTGATTTTGTCGGGTAGAAAAACTCAATAAATTTCATTTTTTACTAAACGATAACAACCTTTTTTAAACATTTATATTTTTCAAATAAATTTTCCTTTTTTTATCTTTAGAGAAAGCTTACAATTATTGATTTAAATTGTCAAGTAAGCTAGTTCAATTAACTTTAATATGAGCAAGAATGAAAATAAATATACTAATATATAGTATTAATGGCAATGATACAACATAATATATTATACAAATTATTGAAATTAATTAAATTTTAGTAAATTTCATCAGATAGAAGAAGAATTTGATGCTCAAATTATCAGAATGGACTCTTTTTATGAAATAAATAATTAATAACAAAAATAAAAAAAAATTTGTATACTAATATAAATTTTTTTATTGAGTTGAGAAATTATTTAAATATTCAATAAAAAACAATTTGTTATTTTTATCCATTGTCCTGGAATCATTCAAATATACCCTTGGATTTTAAATTTATTCAACCTCAAAATGATAATTTTTATATTTTATTTTTATTCAAAATATATTTAATCTATGAATTTTTACACAAAATCACTTAGTGGCAATGAGCTTGATGTTGAAATGAAAACAGTCAATTATACTACTTTGAATTTTACTTTAGTAGGTTCTATGATAAATGTATATAACAAAATTATGAAACCAACTTGCGTATAACACTGCTGAAACAAGCAAAACTAACATACACTACATAGGGCTGTATTTTTAATTAAAATAATAAAATTTATACTAGTTTTAATTTTTAAATCAATTGAATTGTAAAAATTGAAACAAATCCAGAGAAATGATCCAATAACTCATGTGCAATTTTTAATAAAAAATATTTAAAATTTTATGAGTTTTTTACAAATATTTTTCTACAATATCTTAAAATTTCTCAATCATTTCCCTATATTCATTTTACAGTGTAATATTATTTTATATTACAAGTAATAAATATGCATAAAAATGGAGGCACAATTTTTAATAATACCTCTAACTCATTTTTTATAATGATCCCTTCAAAATGATTGAAATTGAGCTTTTTAGTAACCAACTATTGATATTGAAGTAAACATTTGGTTGAACTAATGTACAATTTTATCGATACTATTTTTTGAAATTTAACACAAAATGATAATAAATGTACAACTGGCACTTTAAAGACGAAAAGCTTAATCCAAAGAAAAAGCATTTTTCATTGCCCAACCTCGATTTTTAATTGGAAACAACAAAGATGTCGTGGTTTTTTTATTTATGTTTCCTTCCAATTTTTACGACTTATGTTTCATTTGAAAAATGAATTCATAATTAGCTGCTGGACTCAATAAAATGGCAAAAAATCTTAAACTTATTTAAAAAAAAAAGTAAATACCAGGCTTACAAATCTTTTTAGACTGAAGTTTCTTGGATAGCAAAAGAAAAATTAATGATCTTATTTAAATTTTCTTTCATTCATTTCCAACTCATTTCAAAAATTGACAATCCTGTTCATTAAATTAATCAGTTTGAGGTAAATAATTCTAATAACAGGGCGCAGTATAAAAAAGAGCATGATAAAAAAGAGTCATTGCATATGTTTAATGTTAATTATATTACTTAATCATAAGTTATTTTCCAAAAAATGTATTTTTTTACAAAGAAAATAGTTCATGTAAAATCATATTTCAAGTTACTGATATTATAATACTATTCTAATAGATATGTTTTTTAGAACATAGCAAAAAATGTTAAAAATTTATAAATCATTGTGGATAAGAAATGATTTAAACTATTTCTATGCTATTATTTATTGATTTGCAATTTATAAAGGAAGCTTCGTTGAATGACACTTGAATATTGATTATAAAGTTCACAGACTGATGAAATTTTTGCATACAATTTCACATATACATGGTTTAGGCTTTGTACAATTAAAAAAAATATTTTCATCATTCACTAAAATTTAAGTTTGGTTATATTTCACATCAACAAATTTTATAACAAATTCCTTATTCTTCACTTTTAACAAATATATAGAGATAGTTTAAAAATTTTGTCTTCTTTTCTGGAGTTCAATGAATATGTCACAAAACACTTGTTTTTATTATCCCCAGAATTTCATTCATGTAATCTTTGTTGTCTACTTCTGAATATTATTATTAGAGTGGGCAATTTCCGAAATATTCAGCTTGGCCAAAGATCACGTTACTTTATAAGTTCATTTCTATTTTAGGAACATGATGACATTAATGTTCAAACATACAATCAACAAATAACAAGTTTTATTTGGTACTGGTCAATATAACCAATTAGTACAAGAGCCTTGTAATTAGTTTGAAACATGAGCACAAGTACTTGGAGAGTATATTCCTTCAATTTGACTTACTCTATAAATAACACAAAATTTACACAAAAGTAGTGAGTAGAAAATTAATAATTGTCCAGGAGATATTCATGCTAAAATTGTGCGCTCCAAGTGATAAATTTATTTCTCTCAAAATGATAAAGAATAAAATTGAAATTGTTCACATGGGTTATAGATCTATCGACCCAATGGTGCTCCGCCAAAGTTAAAAGTAGATGGTACAGTTTGTGAAGTAAAAGCATAGCCTAAAAAAAGTGTTAGAAAATCGAACATGAATTTAAATTTATAATATTAAGTGTTTATTAATTTATAAGGTATATTAAAAATAGAGCAATTTTCTCAACTAACCACCACTTTGTTCAATTCTTTTGCTCTCTAAAGCCGCCTTACGTTGATCAGCCAAAACAATGATTTCAGTCAAAGATGTTCTTTGCTCTTGTGTTAAATTACTTGTTAATGCACTGTACCACGGTGTATCGGTCATTTCAATGTCTAAAAATACAGTAAAACTTTATTAATAGAACGATTCATAAATGATGGTTAATTTTAATAAATCATCAAACATACTTGACATTACTTCCTTAAATACAATATACTCATCTTGATTTGATTCCTCAATATCAAGAGGTGTTGTATAACTCTCTAAAGCTGTTTCTTCATTAGCTTCAAAGTCTGAGTCTTCTTCGTCATCATCTTCTGATCTGTGATCACCTTGTTGTATTTGGGTTGTTATACCAAACATGTGTTGGTTTGATGATTTATTAACTTTTTCTTCAAGACTTTCTAAATAATCTTGACTAGCGTCATCGATTTCATCTTCATCTGATGATAAGACTTCTAGAATGTAAATTGATATAAATACCTCATAATAATATACATGAAACAAAAACAAAACAAAAAAGTTCAAACCTTCTTCTAAATCACTTTCATCATTTCCATCATCTTCATCATCTGTTTCAGCAGCTTTAGCTGCGTAAGCTCTTTTCAGACCATCAAAAAGAAGTATTAGCGATGGAATTATTTGTTGTGCACACTCATTGACTACTGGTGGTCTATTTGGGCCCATGCTTATCAATGTACACAACCCAAGAACACATAGTTTCCTATCGTGTAAACTGCAGAAAAAAAGATTTTGTTCAATTAACTAAATAAATTTGAATAAATAGTTGTATGGATTAAAATGCATACCCTAAAAAACAGTCAGTGTCATGAATCCATTGTTTAATAAAATGAGATGCAATAGGTTCGGAAGATTGACCTAAAGTACCATGTAATCTTTCCATAGTTTGAAGGCACAAATTTGGATTGTAATATAAAGCAGCTATGACAACTTGTAGACACATAGTTCTTAACTCGGATGTTTTAACTTCTCGTGTCAAACGTTCTAAAACTAGCTGTATGAGAGGAGGTATACAAGTATCTATGCGCCCTTTACATTGTAATATTATAACTTCTAAAAGTTTTGCAGCATGACATTCCGGATCTTCACCAGCATCTCCATCTAATACAGCTTTACACATATTAAACATAGCTATGATATGATTTTCGTTGGATAAAAAGGCATTAGTATCCACTGTGATGTAGTTATGAAGAGATGGCATCATATCTGTGAAGTAATCAAAGCCATCTTTTTGGAACAGTTCATACATTAATTCCAATACTTTCCACATATCTTCTGAAATTGTAGTTCCTGTCAAATCATACACAAGTGATAAGGCTTCTTCGTAAAACTCTGAAAAACCAGGAATCATTGTCAATTAGTCAGTAATTCGATCATAAAATTCATATTCATTATTTCAGAATATACCAACCCATTACGCTATGATTAAATATATGTGCTATAACTTGCAAAACAATTGGTTGTAATTGACTCATTATGTGAGGCTGATTCTCCATTACAGACAATAATGTTTCAATAGTATTTAGCAGTCCCATTGCCGTAATAGCTTTTTCATCGCTACCTTCATCCGTTTCTAAAACTTGACTAAAAGTTGCTGCCAAATGTTGGCACATTTCAACAGCAATAGGAGTCAGTTGTTGCGGGTAAGTGCAAACAATTTTTTGCATTACTGTAGTAAGATCATCATTTTCTGTTAGTCTAATTATGTTCAAAAGTTCTAGTGTAATTTGTTTTATCCAAGGTTCTACACAATTTTGAACTTTTTCTTGAGTTTGAAGCAAACTTTGAAGTGCTATAGCAGCTTCAACTTTAACTGGAAGATCTGTGTCATTTAGAAGGGCATTTGTGGTCAATCTAACAGCTTCAAATAGAATATCTTCTTGTTTAAATTTAATTTCAGCAAAATAATGTAATACCCAGCAAGCCTGCAAGCATAGATTTATTAGTTATTGTGAATCATCAGCATTTACTTATTCTTACGATTTAAAGGAGCAAATTAGCTTACTCTAGTTCTCATGTGTCCATGAGGACTGTTAAATTCTGGAAATACATATTGCATCAACATTTTATCCATTTGATCTTTGTAGAGTTTTTTTTTCAATAATATGTCAGCTAATGTTCCAACCTATAAATTTATGCAGACATTATACAAATGAAATATTTTATCACCATTGAGAAATAATGATTTTTAATCACAACATGTGAAAAACAAAATGAATTGTTTACCATATGCAAAGCTCCATCTTTCTGTTTTGCATCAGTTCTAGGATTTGTTAAGACTTCAACACAAAATAGCATTGTTTTTTGAAGCATATCTTTTCGTTTCTTACAAGCAGAATGTAGTAATGTTTGTGCGGCGGTGACAGGTGATACAAAATCTTCAAATATATCTGTTAAGCAGAAAATTATGTAAATATAGCTTTTGATAGAACTCAAATGATATAACTTATTTATTCAAAGTTTCATGTTCTAAGAAAAATGAATTAAATATATATTACCAAATTTGACTCTTATATACTCGTATGGATCTGTGTTCCACAATTCTTCATCGGCAGCAGAGTAGGACATAAGAGGAAACAATACATCTCGAATAATTTCGTACATGTGCGGTTTTAAAAATCGCCAGGAATAAGCATGACTTACACTAGTAAATAAATTCTCAATTAAAAAAAAAATTCTTTTACTTGTTCATTATGTATTTATTTTATTATAATAACAAAAGAACTCACCCTTGTTCAATATAATTTATAGATTGTTGTAGAACACGAGGAGAAATGTAAACATGTCTACGATACTGATCTAATATCTTTAACAAAACTTCAAGAATACCACCACTGAAAGTCCGTAAATACCATTCAGAAAATTCTTTGTAATCTTTATTTACAGTGCCAGGGCTTCCATATCTGAAGAAAGTGAAAAATAAGTTTAAAAATTTACATAAACAATAAGTAATACGTAGAATATTTTATACCGTTCGAATATTCTTTGCAATATGTGTAGTGCCCATTTTTTACATTTCCACCATGGTAGTTCAGCTTTTTCATCATCGTCTAAAAATTCAAAACTTTGTTCTGATGGTATTGGCCTATCAGCTACCTGACGAATAATATCCATCCATTGAGTGAAAATTTCTTTGGATATAAGATCAAGAGGAAGTGTGTATTGCGTAAGAGCATAAAATATTTTCAATATTTGCTTTTGAAGCAGAACAGACTGTTCTGAAGGATCCGGTAAAATTCTGACTATAAGTTGGTAAATCATCGGTAAAAGAAGGTTCATGGCTTCATTTAGTGGACCTCTTTCTTCTGTTTTTTTATATCTATGTAAGCATAATAAATTAAATTAAACTTATAATTTAAAAACCATAATAATTGATAAAAAAAACATTGAAGGTCAACTTACTCAAAATTCTTAACAAACTGATATAGGGCTAAAAGTACACCAGGCCAACAAGAAGCATCAGGATTTTGAAGGTATATAGTGATTTTATCAACAATTTGAGTCCATCTTCCAGGAAAATCATGTTTAACAATATTACTAATACACACTGCGAGCTGTATTCTAAATTAATCAATAAAAAATATTAGTCACAGTTTATCAAATTTTATAAATTATTTAATAAAAAACAAGCACCTTATTAATTCAGGAGCATGAACAGTTGCATCAACTATGCTATCACGAATCATCGCTCTATCTTGTTCATGGATACTAAATGGTGGTGAAGTATTACTTTCTGCTTCTCTGTCAGCCCAATTTGAGACAATCAAGTTTTTTAGATATATGACACCTGCATTCATATAAAGATTTTAATAAAATGGAGCATGAAAACATATTTGATAGTGAATCATGATTTTTAATAATTTACCAGCTTGTCTCACGGGCATATCAACTTCATTAGACATGATAATCTGGAGAAGTCCAGGAGCAAATCCAATTATTTTATGGACCTAAATATTAAACATTGATTAAGATTTATAAGGTTGCAATATGCATGGAAGATTTTCCCGCGAAAAGTCGACCAAGCTAAATCACTTTGGTTACAAGCTATAATTGTTTTGGGAGGCATATTTGATGGTAAAAGGTCAACAAGTATTGAGTGAAAGATGACACGTGCTATTTAGGGGAAAACTACTTAAAATACGAATAATAGTCTTCAACATTTAACAACGAGTTAAAGTGAAGATGCCAGGAACCAAGTGTTGAAACACGTGGGTTATGTTCAAAAGCACGTAGCTAACCTGGTTTAGTTGTTCCTCTGCCTGCTTTTGCTGAGCCGGATCGATAGTGGCCCGCAAAAGCTCAGTCAATTTTCGAGGATCCATCCTGTTGATGTTTTAATTTAATTTTTATGGCTCGTCTGCATGCAGAAATTAATTCGTCCACAGGTAGATTTTTAGCTACTCGGAATAAATGCTCGCCATGTACGCGCGCACGTCTGCCTCATGCGGACCTGTGATATACCCAGAAAAGTGTGCTAGGCCTAGAACAAGTTAATCAATTGCTGTTCAGCATCGTGGCAGCACGCCGCAGATAATTTATTAAGGTGCTTTTGCATGACCGGTTGGTTGAGCGACTCACACCCTCGAATTACGAGTTATAAATTTAAGGATGGGAAATTAACGAATGCTAAAAACCATATCTTATACCAACCACTGAAAAAATAAATTAATGAAATAAATTCAAACCTAAAATTTTTTAGCATTAATAATTTATAAAAAAAATTGGTCACCGAATAATTTTTTTGTGAATTATGTGTAATTATCAGATAAGCTATAAACAACAAAAATAAAAATCTGAAAAATGTATAGAGTCTAGGAGTTAGGAGGCTGGAAGCGCGCTCGAGCGATGCAAGGTGGCTCTGAATTTAAAAGCTATAGTGTATATGTTACGCAGCATGTTGTACATTACATGGCAGATCATACAGGAATCGGCGATACAGGCAAACCCCGTTATTCGCGGGGGTTCGGTTCCAAAAAAGTACCGCGAATACCGAATCCGCGAATACCGAAGCATTGTTCTTATGGGAAAAGGGGGGTTCGGTTCCTCGTCCGACTGAAATGTCAATATACATATTAGTAAAAAAATTTTTTATGAGAAAAAATTAAAGTTTTGATTAATATTTTTTTATTTTGTAGTAAAATATTGAGTCAAACTTTTTTGTTTTGCTCTGCGCAATAGATCTTTGTACAAGTTTTTATAACACTCTAATGATTTTTCGATATCTTGTCTAAATTGAAGGCTTCGAGTCATGATTAGGTCGTAATTTAATGCTCGTTCAATGAGACGCTCTGCATCAGCCAAAATATTTCCAACTACTTTCGCAGTAAGAACAGGCTCGGGTTCTTCATCTGCAATCATTTCTTCTTCAGCTGCTGTATTTTGCACGATTGCATCAATTTCGTCGACGCTTCGATCGATCGATGATCGATCTTATTGTAGATTCATTGACGTTAAATCTTCGCGCTAGAAAAGCCACTTTATCGCCCTCCTTCAGAGCATCTAAAATTTTGATTTTTTCCACCAAATTCAGCACTTTTTTATTCCTCTTTGAAGGGCAATTCATAATTAAAAAAAAGTTTTTTAAATTTTTTTAAAAATTTATGCGCGAAAAAAGGTTAACTTTGAGCGAAGAAACCGCGAATACGGAAACAAAATACCGCGAATACTGAAGTGAGGTCACAAACAGGGTTACCGCGAATATGGAAAATCGCGAATACCGAATCCGCGAATAACGGGGTTTGCCTGTATACACATTCAACTCTTGATATCTTTTAAAAATGGTAAGCGAAACCCACATTCCAAATATCATTCGAAAGCTTATAAAATTTTCTTTCAATGATATACAAATTTGGTAATGATGATGAGTGAGCAAAAAACTGCGACGCGATCCATAAGAACCGATTCACCTTCTTTAAAAATCCGCTTTGCAAAAAAGTAAAAGGTAATTGGTATCGGGATGTAATATAATCCTATGGTGGGGGGGGGGGACATGGCTGTTGTAACCAATATGCTTTTAGTATAGGCCTGTCACTAACCCGCAACACTTTGCATATTTTACCTCTTGTCAAATCGTAAAGTGATCAATAGTGAACACTGAAAAATGCTTATTGGGAAGTAATGTGAGACCTGGAAGGGGTAAAATATGGCTGTTCTAATAAGTCAAACTCCATATCGTCGCCCCAGCGCAGGAAGGTATCTATTTCCAAGCTGTAGCAAGAAGGATACTTACTCGCGCGCAGAGGCAAAAAGGTATCTAACTCGAGCGCAGCGGCAAAAAGGTATCTAATTCGAGCGAGAAGCAAAAAAGTAGCTTATTCAAACGAAGTGGCAAGAAAGTTTTGACGCGCTGAATTTAGGTTGGCAACGGAGCCGTAAATGATTAAATTTTGTTTCAACATTCAACATTCAACATTTAATTCAAAGTTATGTAAAGCCGATAACTTCTACTTTCCTCTCAGAACATACAAAGTCCTCCATAAGTGGCAAATTCAGTCGAAATCGCGGCTAGATTGATTTGTTTGCTCGCATTAAAAATGAATGAATCTCATTACACTAGCTCAAATGTTTTCCTCTTTTTTGCTCTAATACAAAACAAAATTTTATCATTTACGGCTCCGTTGCCAACCTAAATTCGGCGCGTCAAAACTTTCTAGCCACTTCGTTTGAATAAGCTACTTTTTTGCTTCTCGCTCGAATTAGATACCTTTTTGCCGCTGCGCTCGAGTTAGATACCTTTTTGCCTCTGCGCGCGAGTAAGTATCCTTCTTGCTACAGCTTGGAAGTAGATACCTTCCTGCGCTGGGGCGACGATATGGGCGTCGAAATCTAATGTATATAGCTACACCAATATGGCGGCGTACCCCCGGAGATTGACACGCGTTTGATACAAACAATCTCGATTAAACGCATTCTAATTATCCGCGAGTGCAATGTCACAATTAATATTCATGTAAAATTCAACGAGAAATCCGAATATCGAATTATTTTTCACCTAAGCCTCCGGGAAAGCCGTAAAAATTAAAAATTAAATTATTGTTTGCTCATATCTCGCGATCCAAGCTAGATACGGAAAAATTAATTACACCATTCGATTCCTCGTAAAATTTTGCATCGACATGCACTAAAACATTTTCAAGTGTCAGTGCAAAATTTCGAGTTCTGCGCCGTTGAACTTACCGGCCGCCCCGAACGGCATTTTTTAATTTTATTGATATTATCAACAATTTTTCTAAAATGCATGCAGGCTAAAAAGTAACGTACCATTGCATTCTGGGGCACAAATTCTATCTTTCCTGAAAAAATCAGGCCGATTGGTGATTGGTGATAGGACCTTTTGGTTTTATGTGATTACGTAATGACTTAAAAAAAATGGGCGTTCTATTATTCGCTCTGACCGTTAGGATAGGGCAAAAAATGGCGCTGCCGTCACCATAAACACATAATCTTATGGAAGAACCGCGGACGTCCTGTCGAAAACACCAGCGTCGATCGCTTGATCTAAATTTTTTTTTATGAGAATTTACATGAGAAAACGTGGCGCTGTGGCAACGTTCGCAAGCAATAGCCGAACTCCAATACTTACTAGAAGCATGAGACCGGCTATTAAAACGATCTTATTTACATCTCAACACAAGGTTAAATTACTTTCTAATTCATCAATTAGGTCATAAACCCAATTGGCGATTAACAGGATTCGGAACCCAGCCAAAAATTCAAATGTCAATACAAATAACACAGCAATAAAGACAGCGATAACAGACGGTGGGGAAGAGTGTATAATCACACACTATCTCGTCACCTAGTCGACGTTTCGCCGACCACTTTGTCGGCCTCTTCAGGAAATTTTTTTTTTTTTATCATGAAAAATTCAAATTTTTATAAGAGAGTACCGAAGATTCTATATAGGAACCGTAAGAATATCAAAATGAAGGTTCACATATGAAGCCGTTTAAGGAAATACTCAGTAGATGTTTCAGAAAAATTGTTTAAAAATTTAAATATTGTGCTGGTTTCGTATATGCCACATTTTTACTGATCAAATCACATAAAAGTTTTTTTATTCATAACTTTTTTTATACACTAGGTTAACTTTGATTCTGTCCGATGGAAAACCAGATTTCCTATGTTCTATACCTTTTGATTCGATCAAACAGAATCAAAGTGCACATCGAATTTTGACAGACGGGCTTAGAGTCAGTCTATTTCAACGGGTGAAATTTTAGCTACTGATTCTTAGCAACAAAATGACGAGCGATATTGAGCAGTTTGTCCAAATTCAATTTACAAAATAGTATATTATTGTCCTGGGCCGTGAAAACAGAAAATTTCCGCAGAATACATATAGTTAACGGCAAAGGCGAAGCCTACCGAGGCCGAGAAACGCGTGCTCTGCAGCTTTCTTTTTTCGCGGCTTAAGCCTGTATGCTATTTTCCATACCCAGTGACTAGAAAACCGCTCTTTCAGCAGGAAAATGCCTCTTTCAGGGGTAGAAAAATAGTCACTTTCAGGCCGCTGATATGAAAAAGTTTTTACATACCAGCGGCCCGAAAGTAGCATTTCCCGGCCGCTGCGCTAAACGGGATATTGCTATTTTCGGACCGGGGGTATGTAAAATCGTATACTGGCCTATACCGGGAAAAAAGAAAGCCTCAGTGCACGTGCTAATCGTCGGCTCGGCTTCGCCTCGGTCGATTATTTTTCGTACTTTTCAATCAATTTAAATGTGGGGTCCAGATGCCCTTAACAAAAAATTTACAAAACTCATTTATATTTTTGGGCAATGTAAACCAGAATGTTCCCTTGATTCATGGTGCATTTATTCTCTTGTGTTACTTAGGTTATTTGGGTTATTTTCGGTTATTTTGTGATATTTTGTGTGTTGGAAATTTTGTCGCGGATATTTTGTCTTGCGGAGATTATATATCGGTAACCCACTTCAAACATAGTTCAAGGATGAATTCATGTTTTTCTGAAAATACTACCTTCATAAGTATGAAAGAAATATAAATTAGTAAGTTTGAATTTACAATTAGAAAATTACAAAATATATCATTCAAAACTAACGTACACCATACATCCAAAACATACATCACACACAGGCATGCAAATTGTAGAAAACTAGCACCTTTTGACGCGCTGCGTGCGTACCAAACATACCACACTCGCTCACGTTATCAGGAATTTAAGAACTCGCGCTCAATGCATCGACGGTCAATCGCCATGTGTGCACCAAAATCTAACGACTAATCGCAGAGCGATTATTATTTTGATGACGCATAAAAGAGTCCATCGTTTTTTGAAAAGAAGATTCTTGTAATTCTTGTTATAATCGTCAGGATAGGAGAGCTTGAAAATAAAGTACACAGTGGGTTGAATTAAATTAAAGTAAAGAGTTAACAGTTTATTCAATCTTGGTGTGTCGAGAAGCCAACGTGCGCTCAGGCTCGCTGCTCCAATCTGTCTGCCCTCGTATGCTGGCCGCGCTCATGCCTCGCGCTACTGCGGGCCTGCGGCCTGCATGCGACAACAGCGCCGTTGCGAGCCCGACGCTAAGCTACGCGTATCGCTTGCACATCGTATGCTTTATGAAGTATAATGGGCATAACATTCGGCCATTCTTACACGCGTTTGGTCCTCCAAACGGTTAAACAGAAACAAAAAAATAATCATTCTTTTTTTTTTTTTTTTTTGATTACAGTAAAAATTAAATTTTGATCATATGGTCATAGTATAATAATCATGGTAATTAACGCATACAAGGAATACAAACATTATTAAATACAAAAGAAAATACTTAAAGGTATAATTAATCATTAAGCACACTCGTAGTCTTCGAATTTTTTTGGCGCTTTTCTCTCTCTCAAGGGTCTTTCGATTTTTAGATTCGCATCTTTTTGATTAACAGATTTTTGAATAACAATTTCTTTCTTTTGAGCGGTCATTTTTTCTTTTACATTACGAGTGTTATTATCGATCGAAGCCACATCATTATGATTTTCAATATCAGAACTATATTCTGCTTCATCGTCAGACTCACTCTCAGACATACTATCTTTATTGCTCCAAATCTTCATCTGGCTTACGTG